ATGGAATTCAAGGTATTGGTTAACATCTTGGGGCCAATTTACTTCAGCAATAACTCTAACATTACGAATATGCCCATGTATGTGTAGCAACTGGTAGCATAGGTGACAAGCTGTGAGAGGACCTTTTGATAGTGCCCCATATAAAGCTGTTTTCTTCCTTATGAGGATCTGCTGACACTTAAAATCTTTCTTGTTTCTCCTCTTTTCTGTTATCTTGTCCATCAGCTTTTAACTCTGTTGGTTATCTGTTAAATTGGCTCCTTTATGCTGTTTTGGCTTGGTATTGTATTCCTTATTTTATGATTTTAATTATGCTTTTTTGTTATGTTTATCTTTGATGTTGTCAATGGGATTCTTTAGTTGCTTTGAATACCTCCTTTACAAGAATATACTGGTCTAGAAATCTTAATAAAGAAAATGTTCCTCCCAAAATCTGTTTTCATTATCAAGGACTGGCATTGGTGAATATACAGCAATACTAAGATCGTTATTCTGATTAAGATAAATAGCACACAGAGATGGATTTTTGCCTACTGATGTACCGTGCCTCCTACACAGTGGACATCACCATGTAGGAAAAAGGTAACTGCATTTCAATGTAATCACAGAAAGGGAAACTCAATTTAAAGCTACACTAATGAAGCTAGCTGAGCGAAGGAAGATCGATGCTTTTGAGCTGTGGTGTTGGAGGAAAGTTCTTGGACTGCGAGAAGATCCAACCAGTCCATCCTCCAGGAAATAAAGCCCGACTGCTCACTGGAGGGAAGGATACTAGAGACAAAGTTGAAGTACTTTGGCCACATCATGAGGAGACAGCAAAGCCTAGAGAAGACAATTATGCTGGGGAAAGTGGAAGGCAAAAGGAAGAGGGGCCGACCAAGGGCAAGATGGATGGATGGCATCCTTGAAGTGACTGGACTGACCTTGTAGGAGCTGGGGGTGGTGACGGCCGACAGGGAGCTCTGGCATGGACTGGTCCATGAGGTCACGAAGAGTCGGAGATGACTGAACGAATGAACAACAACAATGAAGCTATTTTATGTACTAGGCCACCAGGATTTTCCCAATAGCTAGGGACGAGCACCATACTTGTGGCCATTGGATACAAACTTTGGTCTTTCTTGACCAAACAGCCAATGTGTTGTTGATCAGCATTGATCCATGGACCACCTCTTTGAGTAGCATACCTCGAGTGATCCAGATTCTCTTCCCCAACACTACTTTCAAAACCATGAAGTTTTCTACAGGAGACACACAACTTCCTCCTTTATGTATTATCCAGAAAACACACTCAAAAGTGACTCACACTTCCCTCTTTTGTGTGTTCATATGCCTTCAAGTTGTCTGTTGACATAAAGCATCTTATGAATTTCATAGAGTTTTGTTAGACAAGGCATACTGAGAGGTTTTCCATTTTACAAAAGTCACACGCTGTTGTTACTTTGTAATTTTTCTTGTTTGTATTTGGTTCTTTTTGATGTCTTGGCTTCGCAATAGCCTGGGGCTAAAGCAAACTATAAAATTAGAATTAAACTTCTTCCCTTTACCTGTCTCTTCACTGACAGAAGCTCATTTAAAAATGTGAGTTCAATGTTCCAGCAGCCTCACTTACAGTTTATTCTGTAAAAACTAAATTGACATTGATGGTACTTATGGATGAATGTGTGGATATATGTATCTGTAAATATATTTGACAGTATAGTACAGTATTCATCTATTCTCATCAGACTGACGGGACATCATTTCCTATATTGTTGGAAACCTTTTAGGCAACTGACTTTAAAACAAAGTACTAAATCAAATTACAGCCTATAAACTACTCCTATAAACTTAGGAATTTGTTTGTTAGTTTTACAGATAATGTATTGAATTTTGCCATACTGAAATACTCATACTCATTGCCACAACTTTCCAAGTTCATTATAACAGCAAAATTTGTTTGAGCCCAATTCCGCCAAACAATCTTAAAGGCCATGTGAAATCTGGTCGCTATGTAGTTTTCCTTCAAGATCAGCCCACCTATTCAGTAAAGAGAAGTGACTTCCACAGACAATAAAGTTGGGATGACAGAGAAAAACAGCAAATGCTACTTGCGGTATTTACCTATAGGGTGCCCTCCGAAAATACACACATTGTTAACAGTGTGCAAATCTAGAATGTGTTTATACTTGTTTGCCCTCCACCCTAAAACAGGAATGCATCCTTAACAGGATTAAATATTATAATAGAATCATAGAATCAAAGAGTTGGAAGAGACCTCATGGGCCATCCTGTCCAACCCCCTGCCAATAAGCAGGAATATTGCATTCAAATCACCCCTGACAGATGGCCATCCAGCCTCTGTTTAAAAGCTTCCAAAGAAAGAGCCTCCATCACACTCTGGGGCAGAGAGTTCCACTGCTGAACGGCTCTCACAGTCAGGAAGTTCTTCCTCATGTTCAGATGGGAATCTCCTTTCCTGTAGTTTGAAGCCATTGCTCCATTGCGTCCTAGTCTCCAGGACAGCAGAAAGGAAGCTTGCTCCCTCCTCCCTATGACTTCCTCTCACATCTTGATCCATGGCTAAACATGCACAACTCTTTAAGCCGCACCTCATAGGGCTTGTTCTCAAAACGCTTGATCATTTTAGTCGCTTTCCTCTGGATACATTCCAGCTTGTCAATATCTCTCTTCAATTGTGGTGCCCAGAATTGGACACAATATTCCAGGTGTGGTCTAACCAAGGCAGAACAGAGGGGTAGCATAACTTCCCTAGATCTAGACACTATGCTCCTATTGATGCAGGCCAAAATCCCATTGGCTTTTTTTGCCACCACATCACATTGTTGGCTCATGTTTAACTTGTTGTCCACGAGGACTCCAAGATCTTTTTCACACGTACTGCTCTCGAGCCAGGCTGTCCCCCATTCTGTATCTTTGCATTTCATTTTTTCTGCCTAAGTGGAGTATCTTGCATTTGTCCCTGTTGAACTTCATTTTGTTAGTTTTGGCCCATCTCTCTAATCTGTCAAGATCGTTTTGAATCCTGCTCCTGTCCTCTGGAGTATTGGCTATCCCTCCCAATTTGGTGTCGTCTGCAAACTTGATGATCCTGCCTTCTAACCCTTCATCTAAGTCATTAATAAAGATGTTGAACAGGACCGGGCCCAGGATGGAACCCTGCGGCACTCCGCTCGTCACTTCTTTCCAGGATGAAGAGGAAGCATTGGTGAGCACCCTCTGGGTTCGTCCATTTAACCAATTACAGATCCACCTCACCGTAGTTTTGCCTAGCCCACATTGGACTAGTTTGTTTGCCAGAAGGTCATGGGGGACCTTGTCGAAGGCCTTACTGAAATCCAGGTACACTACATCCACAGCATTCTCTGCATCTATCCAGCTTGTAACTCTATCAAAAAAATCATTCATATTAGTCTGGCATGACTTGTTTTTGACTATGTTGTGGTTGACTATTAGAGATGACTGCATTTGTTTCTAAGTGTTTGCAGACCACTTTCTGTAACCATCTTTTCCAGAATCTTGCCTGGTATCGACGTGAGGCTGACCGGACGGTAATTGTTTGGGTCATCCTTTTTTCCCTTCTTGAAGATTGGGACCACATTGGCCCTCCTCCAATCTGCTGGAACTTCTCCCGTTCTCCAAGAACTTCCAAAGATGATTGCCAATGGTTCCGAAATGACTTCCGCTAGTTCCTTCAATACTCTTGGGTGTAGTTGATCTGGCCCTGGGGACTTGAACTCATTTAGAGCGGCCAGGTATTCCTGGATGACTTGTTTCCCAATTTGGGGTTGGATGTCCTCATATCCCTCATCCACTCCATCTTGCTGAGGTTGAAGATGACTTTCTTTTTGTGAGAAGACCGAGGCAAAGAAGGTATTAAGTAGTTCTGCCTTTTCCCTATCCCTGTCAGCATTGCCCCATCTTCTCCTCGAAGAGGCCCTATTGCCTCCTTGTTTTTCCTTTTTCTACTGACATAAGAAAGGAATCCCTTTTTATTGTTTTTAATGTCCCTGGCAAGCCTGACCTCGTTTTGTGCTTTAGCCTTGCGGACCTTTTCCCTACAGGTGTTGGGTATTTGTTTGAATTCTTCTTTGGTGATTTCTCCCTTTTTCCACTTCTTGTGCATGTCTCTTTTGTGTCTTAGCACAGTTAGAAGTTCTTTGGACATCCATTCTGGCTTCTTTGCACTTGTCCTATTTTTTCTCTTTGTTGGCACAGTTTGCAATTGCGCCTTGAGTATTTCACTCTTGAGAAACTCCCATCCATCCGTAACTCCCTTGTCTTTTAGTATCTGTGTCCATGGAATGCTGCTCAGTGTTTCCTTCATTTTTTGGAAATCAGCTCTCCTAAAGTCCAAAATGCAGGTTTGACTTGTCTTAGTTTCGGACTCCCTTTGTACCTCAAATTGCAGGAGCACATGGTCACTTGCCCCTAAGGATCCTACCACTTCAACCGCTTCGATCAGGTCCTCCACATTTATTAGGATGAGATCAAGAGTAGCCAATCCCCTTGTTACCTCTTCTACCTTCTGGACCATGAATATATAATAGTATAAAAGTGTCACAAAACTACAAGAAAAAATTGTGAAATTTGCGATTTTTGGCACACACAAAGTTTGCAACACAATGTGAGAAATACATGATTGCACAGATATGAACACCCTACATAAATTTGTAACTTAAGATGCAATTTGTAATGCTAAATCATTATAACATTTATTATTAGTAAGAGGATTGATAGTTTGTAAATGTCTGTGACTTGAGGAAGAGAGGGAGGATGGCTGGGATAAGGCAAGGTTTTAGATTCTGATTATTTGTTGCTATACCATTATATTGTATTGTATATATTATGGGTATATATATACACACACACACATTTGCTTAGCCTTCAGACACACCTTACCTCTTGCAAGTTGTCCAAGGGTACATACATTTGGGGGAGGGGGTACCCTATACATTGTATGTGTGTATATCTATAAAAATCATAGTATGTGTACTTACCTGCCTGTAGCACAAAGATTGTTGCTAGGTGAAGTGCCCTCTGTGATGTCACTGGGAAAGAAAGGTGACAAATGCAAGAGGGGAAGGGTTTTATTGTTTCTGTTGTGGTTTTTATACTGTTTTTAATGTTTAATCTGTATTTTGATATTATGTGTAATAACTTGTTGTAAACCCCCTTGAGTCGCCGATAGACTGAGAAAGGCAGTATACAAGTGTAATAAATAAATAAATAAGGGACAAAGGAAGGAAAGAGCCACAAAGAGAGTCTGCCTGCCATTGCCAGATTGTTGCAATGGAGACATTGTGAGATTGGTCCTCAGAGCAGGAGAAGGGAGAAAGTAGGCAGGCAGTGGTCAATGCCATGTATATATGCTAACATATATGTGTACAAATAGATACATAGTCATATATACGATAGCTATACACACACACACACACACACACACACAAATGCATGGGGTGGATGTGTTGATGGGATTGTCTCTCTAGTGTGCCATAATAACGTACAAGTGTCACATATATTGACTAACATTATTTTTTTCCTTTTCAACTGGGTTTACTTCAAGCAAGGACAATGTCCTTGCAGCCTGAAATTGGGTACAAAGAACTGTTCCAAATTAAGCTGAGAAAAATGGCCCTGTCTGAGTAAAATGTCAAATTCTCTGAATGCATCCCACTCTGGATAGGAACCAAGGCCTGTCTGAAGCTCCTGCCTTGCCTAATCCAGCTGCCTCAGTAAGGCTTATGGGGGATGTGAGGGGTTGCCTTTCGTGCGCCGTTCAATGAAACGGGATCAGGCCTTAGGAAAAGCAGGTCAGAGATGGGAAAATATGCAGCAGCAATAACAAGCAGCTGCCAAGGCCCCCCTCCCTCCCTCCCTCCCTCCCTCCTGGCCCTCCAGGCTCATTTCTAAGGCGAGCCTTTTTCCTTTCCGCCTCCTCCTCCCTCGCCCACAAAAGCCCTCAATAGACAGAACCACGCCTTGCCTTTTTATCTCTCCAGAGTTGGGACACGCCAATTGGATCCCTGTCTCTCCCTGCCAGCCAATCAGAAAACTGTTGCCAGGGTAGGCAAGCTTTCGGCTGGCTGTTGAAAGAGGCCTTTTTATTCTGTTGCCAGGAGAGACAGGCAGAGAGGAGGTACCTCAAACAACAGGCCTCCCTTCAGGGCTGGGAGTGGGCAAAGAGCCCTCCATCAACCGCTTGTCAGCTAGCCAGGCTCTTCCCAGCCTAAAGGGATGGGAGTTTTTGTGATGTCCCCATCCAGGGATGCCAATTGTGACAGGAGGGGGGCTGGCACAGAGCAAAACCACCCAACCTTTTGGGTACAGGAGAACCTTGCTCTTTGGGCTCCCACCATCCTATTCCATGGACTCAAAATCACAACATGCCCAATTTGGCCTATCACTTTGGCAAATAGAAACTCAGGGTGTGTCTACACTCTAGAGCAGGTCTGGGCAAACTTTGGCTGTCCAGATGGTTTGGACTCCAACTCCCACCATTCCTAACAGCCTCAGGCCCCTTCCTTTTCCCCCTCAGCTGAGGGGGGAAAGGAAGGGGCCTGAGGCTGTTAGGAATGGTGGGAGTTGGAGTCCAGAACACCTGGACGGCCAAAGTTTGCCCTTACCTGCTCTAGAATCAGTGCAGTTGGACACCACTTTAACTGCCATGGCCCAGTGTTGCATAGTTTTACAAGGTCTTTAGTCTTCCCTGCCTTGCCAAAGTACAACTCCCCTGATACCGCAGCATCGAGCCATGTGAGTCAAAGGGATGTCAAACTGCATTAATCGCACAGTGTAGATGCATCCTCAGTACCAAGTCTGTTTCCCACTCCTCTTCACCTAGGAAATTGCACTACTTTTTCTACCAGTGCTACAACTCCTGTATTAGCCTCTTTCGCTCTCGCTCTCTCTCTCACACACACACACACACACAATCTTTCTCTCATGCACAAATGCATGCACATACCTTTCTCACTCATGGACATACAATCTTTTTCGTATGCACAAACACATACACACACAAGCTTTCTCTCTCACAAATGCATGGACATACTCAATGTATTTGTTACCAATCTCTTGTCATAACTCAAAACAAAGTACAACATGGTGAAAATGGACAGATAAACTATTTAACTATTAAAATGCATATATTAAAATACACATAAACAATGACACTAATACTAATAAAATGTAGGTTAATAATCACAGTTTAAATTTGGGTAAAACCTTTCTCTCACCCACATGCATATATTTGCAGCATTTTTTCACACAGAAATGCATGCATGTACAATTTTTCACACAGAAATGCATTCATGTACAATCTTACACAAATGCATGCAAGAACTATTTTTTGTATGCACAAACACATATACACAAAAGCTTTCTCTCACACAAATGCATGCACATACTCAATGTATTTGTTACCAAACTCATGTTATAGCTCAAAGCAGAGTACAGCATGGTTAAAATGGACAGATAAACTATATAACTATTAAAATGCATATATTAAAATACAAATAAACAATGACACTAATACTAATAAAGTGTAGGTTAAAAGTTACAGTTTAAATTTGGGCACAACCTTTCACTCACGCACATGCATATATTTGCAGCATTTTCTCACACAAAAATATATGCATGTACAATTTTTCACATACAAATGCATTCATGTACAGTCTTACACAAAATGCATGGAGGAACAACCTTTCTCAAAGCTCAATCTCTGGGTCACAGCATGAGGTTGGGCAATGTACTCAGTGTTAGGGCAATGGATACCAGACAGTCTTGGCTGGAAGCAGATTGTTTATTTTATTAATATATCGTATTAGAAGCAAACCAAGGAAACAGAACCTTTTGTATCCATGTTTGTTTTCCTCCCACTCAAATAACAACAGTTAATGGTGGTGCACATCTCACATGGAATTGTTGCTCATGATGTGCCTACCCAGTCCTTCCCCCACTAACCCTGTCCTCAAGCTTTGCAAGGCGATTTCATTATGCTGTTGCATTTTCTCATAAATCCTTATTGTGCACTAGTTAGGATTGCCAGAGTGAAAGCTGAAGTTTGTTCCTGCCCGCATAAATGGTTGTGTAGAAGAGGAAATCTCAGCAACTGTTACTTGTTACTTGGTTGTGTGAGAAGAGACACCTACTTAAATTACCTCTCCTACACACCTATTAAAGGGACTAGAGCCATTCTCAGTTTTCATTCTATCATTCCTAGTATCTATGTGTAAAATGAATGGCTTATGAATACTTTTTAAAATCATATCTAAAATAAAACTTTGCAAAACTTTTTTTCAGTAGAAATACTGGGCTGAACCAAAATGACAGCACTTTTCTGACAAAAGTTGAACTGACACTGTGATATAAGGCAGTTTGAACCGCATTGAACTGCATTATGTGCATCTACACCAACCATATAATGCAGTTCAAATAAGAAAGTGTAGATTCTACTAAAGCTACTGAAGACCTCCCTCCTACTTCTCATCCTTTTTATTTTAAAAAAGCTATTGGATAATTTCTATCATTTGAGGATAATACGACCACCAACCCTGGTATCATGCTGCATCCATTTCACTGTGAAGGATATAAAAAGCAGGTTGACTTGCAGCCATACTGTCCAGTTACAAGGGCAGAATGCAAATAACTGCAGTAGTGGCAACTGCCACTACTATTGGTGAGCACCACTCCAAACAAATGACTGGAGATACAGAATTCCCTATTTCTACCATATAGTCACCAGGCAGTATTGAAAATGCCATTATTCTTTCTCAGGATCATATGTTCCAATGGTCACTATGTATTCTGGGATATTGCTTAGCACTATGTAACAGGAACAGAAACCCATCTTTCCGTTGCTCTGTTCAGCGGATATGCATGTGAGATGTCCAAAATAGATAGAAAGCACCAATGTGTTGCTTTCTTTTCATTATCCTCTCTTCAAAAGAAGAAAATAAACTTTTGTTGTGAAATATGTTGCAGCAACAGGATTTTCATAAACTGTTGTATGAACCGGAGTTTTGCACAAGAAAAATATAACATGTTAGAAGATTTGCAGACTCAACTCTTCACTGGTAGATTGGGAACCTTGTTACAAGGCCCACCTGAGCTGTTCTGTCTCACCGGCTTTCACTGGCAAAAGGGAAAGCCTGTGGGGTGACTCTGTGTGCCCGTCCTCCCTCATCACACACAGAGAAGGGAAAGGGTGCATCGGCACCCTTTCCCACCCCAATCACATGGCATAAAGGGTGGCAAAACACGGCAACACACATTACCCCATCACCCTTTCTGCCATCACACGGGCTTTTGGCATCAAAAGTGCGAGTAGCTCAGTCGGAGCTACCTGCATGATGCTTTCCTCTCTGTACTGGAGGGTGAAGTGCCTTTCGGTGCTTCACCTCCACTTTGGGAGGAAAGTGGGCAGGGCCTGCCACACATTGTGTGATAGTGCATGGCAAGCCCTGTCAAAGCCACATGTTTTTACCCCGTGTGAAGAGGTTCTAGGAGTCAAAGTGGGATTGAAGATGAAAGGGGGAGTAAATCTTCATGCAGCACGGGAAGTGACTAAAGCAAATGTTGGAAAACAGTTTGAAGTAAGAAATATTGTGAAAAATAATTTATTTGACTACTTCTGCAGAAATCACATGGCAATTGACAAAGTCACTACCATTGCAATTTCTCATAGCAATATGTTTTAAAGATTCTTCTGCACAAATTTAGATCAGAGGGGGAGAATGGGATTAGCTTTCTTCATGTACAGAGGACCATAGCATATTTTAGGGATGCCAATGTAAGCCAAGGCTTAGAAGGTCATCTTCAGTATCTTTGGATGCCAAGCAGAATGAACCACACTATTGGCACCTTTTTTCACAAGTGGAAGTGCTTTTGGCCAGGTTTTGAGAGAATTTTTGTTACTTAGGACATGGCAGCCCAAAACCCGATTTTTTACCCGAAATTACAATCCCTGGAGCTGAATGAAAAGCATATTCCTACTTCTCATTAATTAGCTCAGTATTTGGACAAACGCACAGTGCCAAATGGGACTTTCAGCCAAACAGACTGCATGCAGACCATATCTTATACAGTCCAGTTGTATCTGTGTGTTTTACTACTCATTAGCATTTTGAGGGGTCTACCTTTTTTGTATCAGGGGAAAAGCATGGAATGAAAGGGTTCTGTTCTCCTTCACTGACAGTATGGTCAAATTTTACTGCTTTCAGCAGAAGAAGACAACTCTGGCGGATCAAATATATAGTTTGGCTTACAATAGTTACTTAAACAAAACTTAGGGGTTTTATAATTTGCCTTATATTCAAACCACTAGATGTTACATCACCCAATTGCAGCAGCCAGAACACTCCTGGTCACAATAAAAAGAAGAGCATGCTTCCCTTTAAATGGCAACACAAAGGAGAGCTTAATTCAGCCCTCGTGGTTCTTTTTTATTCATTTTGCACACCAAAACCCATCTAGTTTGCTAATTCCTTTAACCCCCACACTGTTCCTCAAATGGAATCTAGAATGAAAATCCAGCCCTTCTCAATCTCCCCCTGCCCCCCAGGCCAGGTTTTTTTTTCTCAGTCTGGAATTGCATCTGGTCATCAAGCATATTCTGACAATGCTATAATATTCCCCTTGCGTTCACCAAAACAATTATCGTCAAGAACTATATTTAGGCTTGAGGCTGAGCAAGAATTTCCCAGTCTCTGTAGCTTTCATTCATGCCTCCTCTTCTTTGTTTAACTGGCCATCTGTCTCACTGTACTGTACGCCACGCATCATTATGCGCGAGCAGCTCGTGTGCCATAAATATCAAGTCCTGCTTTGTTTTGCTTTCAAAAAGACATGTTGGTGATCTATGCCGTGGCTCCAAAAGGGACTTGCAAAGGACAAAGGCCCAGGACTGGCATCGCATGCGGGGAATTCTGTGCTGTTTTGGCTTCCCTCCGTGATTATGCTTGACAAGGTCAGGATTCTGGCAGGCAGGGCTCATTTGTGCTCTTACCCTCCTTTAAATCTGGCTGTTTTTCACACTGACACCAGAAAAAAGGGGATCACCACTCTGGGTCCTAGCTCTGTTTGGGATTTGTCCTCCCCCTAATGCACAAGACACTCTGCATGGGAACGGTAGGGAGTGAAAAGACACCAACCCAATCCTGCTGGCTAGAAGCGTGTGTATATGCACTCCAGGGTTACCCTTGGAAACAGGGCTCCAGCTAACATCTGCCTCCCTGTCCTTTCACAGCTCTGAAGCAAAGAAAGGCAGGCAGACATTCTTCCTGCCCTTTTGTCTATGCTGCAGGCAGAGGTGTAATTTTTTTTTAAAGTGAAGCACCCCACACAGTATTTTCTGGTTGTCACCATGAATGGTTCCTGCTACTCTACTTAATTGTGCATTCTCTACTTCTAGGGAAGTAGAGAAAGTGGCAAATTAGAAACACATACTGCTGGCCTGAAGTGTTCGGAGCACTTTTAATGCTTAAAAGTAGATTGTGATGCAGAGTAAATACAAGAATGTATGTATACAAACACACACACTGCTAATTCATAGCTATGATATGAACTGGCTAGAATTGTGAGTTTTCAAATGACACTCTTGCACATTATATCCCACATCAATACACATGTGCACACAAAAGCACAATAGGCTCAAAGGCACTTTTAATGCTGCATGAAAAACCCCTCAGATTTCAATTTTTCTTTCTTCAGCTTCTGTTATATCAGGTCTCCAAAATTCCCTGTCAGCTATTTCAAACAATCTCCCCTTAAATCAACAGAAGTGGGGGGAAATTTATATATTTTTAGCCATCTTTAGCCTCTACCATTTAAGCCTGTGGTTATAAGTATGATTGTAATATCTGTACATTAACTAGGCTACATTTCTCTTCCCCCCTCCCTCCTTCTCTCTCTCTCTCTCTCTCTCTCACACACACACACACACACACACACACACATGCACACGCGCACACACACACACACACACGGATCAAAGCCAGAAAATGGCACAGAGATTAGAAAAAGGACTGTGTATCACTGGTTATCAGCATAGCCCAAAAACGTTTGTGAGATGACTGCAATTATAAAACACTGAAAATGGGTATTTCAGATAAATATATTACGCTATCCTATATTATGTTGCAATTCTTATTCTTGCTACTGCTGCTTCATGGCAACTGCTAGTATTTCCCCACCCTGGAATTAGTCACTTTTAAGAACTTCACCCCAGTCCTCAGCCATAAAACAATTCAGTTTCCTTTGCACAGTGGCTGCCATTTGAGGCAAGTCAGTTTGCGCCTTGGCCTTTCGTCAACCCATTCCAAACTGATGAAAAATTTCCTTTATACTCCTCTGTCCAGTACTTCTGTGCTTCTCTTCAAAATTGCAGTTTACAGTGAAATTGAAGAAAAATACAATTAAAACACAAAGCAAATATATGTGTTTAACTCACAATTAAATAAAAACAATTATATTTTGTGGATTTTTTTAAATGACACACACACAAATAAGTAGTCAGTGGCCCAAAACCTGTTTCAAGACAGGTAAGTTTTTATTACTTTTCTAAGGGATCTGGGGGGTTGTGGGGAGGGGGTGGGTATTCCCACAGTTTACCGGTAAACTGTGAGAATGGTGTCTGTGAGAATGGAAATAGTGGATTTATCCCATGCCTCCCAAGAAGGTGCAGAATAAATCCACTATCTAATTAATTTGCCACAAACCAGGGTTTTCCTGGTTTTCCGGCGCAAAAGCCGGGTTGCAGCTAAACATAAAAAAAACCAAGATTATGGCAACAAGAATGATTGACAACTGGAAAATAGAGGGAGAAAATGTGGAGGCCGTGATAGACTTTGTATTTCTAGGTGCAAAGATTACTGCAGATGCAGACTGTGGCCAGGAAATCAGAAGACGCTTACTTCTTGGGAGGAGAGCAATGTCCAATCTCGATAAAATAGTAAAGAGTAGAGACATCACACTGGCAACAAAGATCCACCTAGTCAAAGCCATGGTATTCCCTGTAGTAACCTACGGATGTGAGAGCTGGACCTTAGGGAAGGCTGAGCGAAGGAAGATCGATGCTTTTGAGCTGTGGTGTTGGAGGAAAGTTCTGAGAGTGCCTTGGACTGCGAGAAGATCCAACCAGTCCATCCTCCAGGAAATAAAGCCCGACTGCTCATTGGAGGGAAGGATACTAGAGACAAAGTTGAAGTACTTTTGCCACATCATGAGGAGACAGCAAAGCCTAGAGAAGACAATTATGCTGGGGAAAGTGGAAGGAAAAAGGAAGAGGGGCCGACCAAGGGCAAGATGGATGGATGGCATCCTTGAAGTGACTGGACTGACCTTGAGGGAGCTGGGGGTGGTGATGGCCGACAGGGAGCTCTGGCGTGGGCTGGTCCATGAGGTCACAAAGAGTCGGAGACGACTGAACGAATGAACAACAACAACAGGTTTTCCTGGTTTGTGGCAAATTAATTTGGGACTATCCAGAACGTTGTCTGACAGCCCCTTCTTTATTGCAGGAGTTACCGCAATAAAGGTACTGTCTGGATGGGCCCTCGGACAACCCAGTTCAAAGCAGTTATTGTGGGATTTTCTGCCTTGATATTCTGGGTTATGTCTGTGTAGAAGGCCCCTGGGTATTATTATTATTATTATTATTATTATTATTATTATTATATCTTCTGAGTCTATATTGCCTTATAATCCAGTTCAATGTGGATTTTATACAGCTGTGTGGAAGGGGCCCTAGTCAAATAGGCCATTCTACACTATGAGCAGACACATTTGCCCTTGGGTGTCAAATGCACTCAAAAGTCTAGTCTGAAGTAACCAAAGTGCTGTTACTGTCACTTCCCATATGTTAAAATTCTCCTTGAGTATATGAGATGAGAGGGTTGGGAAACAGACCCTTCATTATTGCTGAGAAGGAGAATTCCTGCAGAAATAACAGCTGAGAGTTCACTGAGGGTATCTGGCAGCGCCTTTGCTGAAAGAGTGCTTTGATCCCATCTCCTCTACCAGCAACTGCCAGGGACACTCCAAGCTGCCTTTAGGGAGCAACGTGATGTGGTTTCAGTGCATGAGTAATGCAAGCAAGACCAAAACAGGAGATAGGAAAGAAAGCCAATGTAGAAATTAGTGTAAAATTACAGGGATGTCTATTGAGCCAAGATTTGTAAGATATTAAGTAGCATTCAGAACAAGGAGAAAAGGTGGGTGTGTGGGTGTGTGCATGTTGTGGATGGTTCACATCAAGACTCCACAGCTAAAACAACATGCCCCATCTTTATAGTTGTTAGCACATCCAGTCTGTGCCTGCCTCTTCTACCCCCTTTTATTACCTTTCTTGCCTCCTAAAACTTGCCATCTCTCTCCAGGGTGCCTCAAGCCATTAGACCAGGAGGGAAGGGAGGTGATGCAAATCACAAGTAATTCCTTTCCTGTCTGGCTTTGCCTGGGCCGTGTGTGTGTGTGTGTGTGTGTGTGTGTGTGTGTGTGTGTGTGTGGTGGGGGGAGTCAATTAGTTTGCTATTACAACATTGCTCAATCAGGAGGAGGAGGAGGAGGTTGCAGCACAGCCCTTTAATCCAAAAACTTTGGCAAGGACATTGATCGCAGCAGCTATTTTGCAGCTGCAAAATCAATCAAACTTTGTTGTATAATTTTTGTCCATTTTCAAAATAACAAAAATGATTTTTTTAAACACACACACACACACACACACAAACATATTGCTACATTATGAATTGGCAGGGATGACTTAATGCATAGCTTGCAATAAAGCCACACATTCTGAGTCAATGGGAAGGATTTAGTGTGACTGAACAATCTTGATTTTACAGCTTTTACCAGTTTGCAGAACAATTATGAAAGGGCAAATGTTTTAAAAATGATTAATCAGAATTCCATGAAAAGGTTTTTAAAATACGGGTGAAAACCCTTTTCACTGCATGTTACATCCTGCCACACAAGAAGGTGTAGGCGATAGGTATTACAATATGAATGTTTCCATAGTAATGTGCTTTGGCATTTTATACATATGAAGACTTGTGAACATCATGCCAACTAGACAATTGAGAACAGAAAAAAATAAAGAAGTGCATTAGGGCCTTTATTCTATCTGAATGTTCTTGAGGACATATTTGATACAACCTTGTTGTACTGGGTGCTATATGAGTGCTATTGTTTTAAACAAATGGATGTATGAAAATGCAAAATTGGATCAGCACTGGAGGAAGGGATTATTTACCCATTGCAGACTCAACCAAAATCACACAATTCCTACCTGCTCTTCAAATTTTTAACTGTAATACTAGTGAGGGCCCTTCTCCCACTGTAAGCAACAAGTGCAGGATGGAATATTATTCTTATGACAACCACAGGAGAAGCGTTACAACTCGCCACTGTGGCATAGTTTTAATCTGGCTCAGACACTCCACCTATCGCACTAACTAGTGACTATGTATTGTGCCGAGGGAGGATTTCTCATTTAGTTTGTACCATGAACCCATGGGATTGACACCTTCTGAAGAACATAGTACGAGATTGTAGTATTGCATTCCTGTTTGTTTCAGTATCAGCAGAATCCATATCTTAATAAATCAAACCATGCATATGTCATTCTTGTGAATTCAGGGGTGCTTTGAATGCAATTTTCTTGCTTCTTCACAGGGGGTTGAACTGGATGGCCCAAGAGGTCTCTTCCAACTCTATGATTCTATGATTCTATTTGAAGGCAACTGGAATGCCCTCTCTGAATCCCACAACTGGAGGGAAAGGAGCTGCACCCGGAAACCCCACTATTATCTGCTATTATGGATCTAGATCAGTGATTCTTAACCTGTGGGCCACAGATCACCATTGGGCCACAAGGACAGAAATCTGGTCTGTGAACCTCCTTCCTCTTTATTTTTGATTTTATTTATTTTATTTCCACCCCTTTCACACCGCCTGCCACTCCTTCCCTGTTGCTGACCATGGCATATGTTCTGTATCAAAAACTAGAGCTGATGTGGTCTATCCAATGCAATTTTCTGAATCAGCATCCCTAAACCAAATCTAAAGTTGACCAAAAACAGATTTGTAACCCTTTCAGTATGAATGTTGGAGAGTGGTCCCTGGTCAAAGTGGTCCCTGGTCAAGTGGTCCTTGGTCATGTGGTTCCTGGTTAAAAAAAAAGGTTGGAAACCATTTATCTAGATCAAGAGCTTTTTGAAGGAGCTTTTGGATACCACTTTGGATAGGATACCACTTTACTCCCTCAATTTGTATGCATCTACACTACAGAATTAATGCAAATTGATGCAACTTTAATTGCCTTGCCTCAATGTTATGGAATCCTGGGAGATGTGGTTTTATGAGGCACCAGCATTCTTTGGAAGAGAAAGCTAAATACCTTGAAAAACAACAACTCCCAGGATTCCATAGCATTTTACTATAGTACAAGTAGTTAAAGTAGTGTCAAAACCCTATTAACAGTATAGATACACCCATCGTGACTTGTGACTTCATCAGATGGACAATTTGCTCCAACCCCACCACAGTTCACTGTCAGCCACCATAAACAGGGAGTCACGGCTGCCATCAGATGACACAGCCGTACTTCTGGTCATCACTCCTACCCTCCCCCAGTCACAGAACTTCAGATCAATCATTAATTTGGGCTGATATGTGATCATGGAAAGAGGAGCGTTCCAATGAGTGGTCCTTAGAACAGTGAGCTGTTATCCCTGTTTATAGAAATGCATGATTACTCCTTTGCAAATTTTTTAAAAATTGAAGTGACAGATATTGCAAATAGAGGCACCAGAGAACTGAGAGAATGGATGGTTTTCCTTTGCTGGTTGGTTTAAATTTATTATTTACTCTAAACTGTTTTGTTTTCAAAAAAAATACTTGCCTTTCTTATTGCACTCCTATCCTATTATTGTATTTCAAAACATAATTTGATAGAACCGCTGTGAGTCGCCTTCGGGCTTGAGATACAGCGGTATATAAGCAAAGTAAATAATAAATAGTAATGGAGTCTGTTTTTAGTTTGAGATGTCCATGTACGAACTCCAAATCCAAAATGGTAATAAATATCAAATAACTTTTTGGAATTATTTCTTGTTATGATGCATATGCAGTCCTATGTAAGGAATCCTGCCTGGATATTACAGAAATTTTAAGATGGGCCCATCAGTAGAAATACTTTTCTTAAAAACAAATGTGGGGCGGGGGGAGACTTCTTGGCTCTGTATGACGAGGAAGATGGTGGGTACCTATGGAGAAGCACTCCAAAGTTTGATACTTCTGATGTGAGGAAAAGTCATGAAACCAGGTGACAGAGGACTAAAAGGTACTATCTGTTCACAATTCCTCTCTTTACTTTACGAAATGATCACACACACACCTCACTGTCATCTGATAATGTCCATTATCAAGGGTTATATCAACAAACACATGCCACTTGCAGGATTCTGAAATCCTTTTGGCAATCCAATGTATTTCAGATACCAGCGAAATTCATCTTACATAAATTTCTGTGTTTAATGTATTGTTTCCCCAAGCTCCGGTGCTGAAGACACATGTACGCAGTTTGGGGGGTCCTCTTGCACTCAGCACTGAACCTGGAATCCCAGGTATCTGTGGTGGCAAGGAGGGCCTTTCCATAATTAAAACTTGTGCATCAACTATGCCAATTCCTGGAGAAGCCAGATCTGGCCATTGTGGTCTATGCCTTAGTTACATACTGTCTGGATTACTGTAACACAATCTATGTGGGGCTGCCTCTGAAGTGTGCCCGGAAACTTCAGCTGGTCCAAAGAGCTGCAACCAGGTTGCTAACTGGAGCTGGCTACAGCGAGCAGAAAAAACCCCTGAAGCTCCACTAGCGGCCAGTCTGTTTCCAGGCACAATTCAAAGTGCTGGTTATGACTTTTAAAGCCCTAGATGGTTCAGGGTATTTGGGTGACCGCATCCCCTTGTACGAACCTGCCAGGCCCTGATTTCTTCAGGAGATGCCCTTCTCTTGGTCCCACCTCCATCTCAAACCCAGTTGGTGAGAATGAGAGAGCGGGCCTTCTTGGTGGCTTCTCTATGACTCTGGAATTCCCTTCTTCCCAAGGAAGCCAGAATGCCCCCTCCCTGCTGTCTTCCTGGCAGCAGGCTAAAACCTTTTTATTCAGATCGGCTTTTAAAGAAGAAAGTTAATAAGAGTATTTGTTTTTCACTTTGAATATGTTTTAATGGATTTTAACGGTGAACTTTTATACTTTTTATATTTAGTTCTGTTTTAATGTTTGCGTATTTGTATGTTTTAAATTGTATCTAATACTTTTATGTCAAGCCGTTTCCAGGAGAGATAAAGCAAGGTAGTTGTAATAATAATAATAATAATAATAATAATAATAATAATAATAATAATAATAACAGCAACAACAACAACAACAATAACAACAATAATAATAATGCAATCTCCCCTCCTCTACATATTTGAGTTCATTAAAATGAAATAAGCAGGGCACCTCTTTGGAAGGGAAACTGGATTTTTATAAACTCAAGATCTGAAAGCTAATAATATCAAAGCCCTGCAACAATTGCCCCTTTTATAGAATTGTAGAGAGGCAAAATGATCTAAGAAAATGATGTTCATTGTTTAGTAAGGAGGTACAAAAAGTGGTTTCTCACACAAAGGAACAAACCCCCAAGATAAAAAGATATCTGGAAAGCATCAATTGGGCACCTTAAACCAAAAGGACTTTTGACACTGTAAATAAGAATTCTGAGTAATGGTAAAAGAATATAAATGACAATAGCAGACACACATACTGATGTGTGGCAATCCTGGCCAATGACCAGGCTCCTCATAGCATGGCAGATGTTCCTCCTACAAGGTCCTGAACAACATCATTGTGAAAGAGAAGCTCAGATTTCAAGAGACTGCACACTAAATCAACACTCACCATCAGAAGCAGCCAAGAAGAAGTTAGCAATCACATACTACGAACAAACAGAGCCAAGAGGAACTTTAAAATTTCCACACCTCTTCTGAACACATACTCATTGCCCACTCACCCCCCTCCCCACCCCCAAGATCCCCTTCCCCTAATAAAAAGCTGCCTTAAAGCACAAATCATGTATTTTATTTGGCTGTCTGCACTGGACAAATAAAGACCAGGCTGTTTTTTTCAATAAACTGTGCAATTTTATGGGTAGTTTTCATCCTCTTGGTCTGCAGTGCCTGGCTTTTCTTGGGTTTGGAGTTTAGGGGGCAACTGGGAGTAGAGCTGGTAACAATTTTCTTCTTGAGTCATCCTCACCTTTCCAGAATAGCACATACAACTTCACTCCCTCTAGCATTTTATGTGCGTATGTATTCATTTAACTTATATTCTACCTTTCTACTAGGACTGGGAGCCAAAGCAGAGGACAACAAGACTACAAC